TGAATTTAATTATTTTGTTGTTGTTTAGTTATGTTAAGATTTTGAGTTTTTTGTTGTGTTTCTTTCTTTTTCTTTTTTTTTTCTTATTACATTAAATCATTGCGCGTTAACTATTATGTATTGTCCTGTAATTGGAACGTCTGTTCTGTTGGGCAATAAATCTCTATTATTATTATTATTGTCGGTGTTTCTTGTGAGAACTCAGGTCTAGCCTGGTTAACTAATCGCACGGATTAAAATCAAGTAACGATTAGTGTCTGTGTCTGTGTCTAGTGAAGTTATGTAGGGTTCTAAAGAAAAAGAAAAATTAAAAAATAAAATAAATATTCGCACACTCACATTGGAAATCTAGGGATAGTATGTAATTCATACTTACCAACATAGCTATTAATGGCCACAATAGTCAACGCTATCAGGAAAGAAGAAAACAAAACAAAAATATCATTATAATAATTTCTGTACTTTTATTAAATAGAGTTTATTGTGTAAGTGTTTCTTTGGCTTTGCGTTTGGGTTGTATACGAGTGGGTTGTGATAACGTGGTGTGTTTATGTGAAGAAGGAGTTTTGTGTTTTTTAACTGTGCTAGGACGTGTAACTTTATTCAGTGGACCTGTCTTTGTGGTACATGTTGCCTTACTTGTATTTATGTTGTTTCTTTGTTCTTGAGGTTGTATTTGTGTGGTTGCTTGGGTTTTTGGTGGAGATATTACATTATGTTGTGAGCATGTAGTTCTGTTTAGGTTTTTGCGTTTGGGTTGAATACGAGAGGGTTGTGATAACGTGGTGTGTTTCTGAGAAGAAAGAGTATTGTGTTTTTTAGCTGTGCTAGGCCGTGTAACTTTATTGGGTGAGGGCGTCTTTGTAGTGCATGTTGCGTTACTTGTATTTATTGCGTTTGTTTGTTCAGGAAGTTGTGTTTGTGTGGTTGGTTGAGTTAAAAGCGGAGATATTACAGTATGTTGTGTATCATGTTGTGAGTCTAAAGTGCTGTTTAGGCTTTTGGGTTTGAGTTGAATACTAATGGGTCGTGGTAATGTGGTTTGCTTCAGAGGTGAATCTCTGATTGTAGTATATGTTGTATCATTTGTTGTACTTGTTTGTTCGGTAAGTTGTATTTGTGTGTTTGTTTGGGTTAGAGGTGGAGATATTACAGTATGTTGTGTACCGTGTTGTGAGGGAGTGCGGTTGTTTACATGTATACGTTGTGGATCATTTCTGTATGTAGTATCTTGTGTTATGTTTAGAAATTTACGAACAATATGGCATGTGTTGATAATGACTGCTTTTTGTAAATGTTTGTGTGTTTTTGTCTAAACCTAATAGTTGTAAATTGTGGTGTATTGTCTTTGGTATAACTCCGGTAGCACTAAGAATAATGGGAACTATAACAGTAGATTTCATTCTCCATTGAGTCTTAAGCTCGATAGCTATATCGGTGTATTTGCGGTGTTTTTCTGCATGTGTTTTAGTTAAGTTGTTAGTGTTGGGTATGGCAATGTCTATAATACAAATGGATTTTTGCGTTTTATCTATAAGTGTAATATCTGGTCTATTATTGTGGATAGTTTTGTCTGTGAGTAGTGTCCTGTCCCAATATAATTTGTGTGTGTTGTTTTCAAGTATGATCTGTGGCGTGTATTTGTAGTATGGTGTCTTATCTGTTATGAGATTGTGTTTAAGTGCTAATTTTTGATGTATGATTTTAGCTACCTGATCGTGTCGATGTTTGTATTCAGTTTGTGCAAGTCGTGTGCATGCCGATATTATATGTTGGATTGTTTCTGATGTTTGTGAACAGAGTCGACAAGAATCGTTTGTCACTGTTTTGTCTTTATGTATGTGTTTTTTATAGTTGCGTGTATTAATGACCTGGTCTTGTATTGCTAACATGAAACCCTCCGATTCCGGGAAGATATCACATTCAGACAACCAAGTGTGCGTTGCTATAGAATCAACACAATCCTGACTAACCTCTTGTGGAAATCGTCCATGCAACGGCTTTTGGTTCCATGTCTGTATGTTATTTGTGATGTATGTAAGTTTGGATGGAGGTGGGAGTATATTAGTTTCGTGTAGGTTAAGTGGCGTATAAGATTTGTCTGCATATGTTACTGTTTTGTGTAGGACTGAAGTATCTGTTTTGTTATAAAAGTATTGTCGCAAATTGTGTATTTGTGTTTGGTGCAATAGTTTTATATCTGTAAGTCCTCTACCTCCTTCCGAACGAGGAAGGTAAAGTCGTATAGTAGAGGAGTGAGGGTGATGTATATGGTGTCTTGTTAATAGTGTACGTGTGTTTCTCTGTATTTGTTCTAAATCTGTATTTGTCCAACGTATAATCCCAAAAGAGTATGTAAGCACTGGTGTGGCATAAGTGTTAATAGCCTTGATTGTATTTCTACCGTGTAATTTTGTTTTAAGTATACTGCGTACTCTTTGTAGGTATTGTGTAATAAGTGTCTGTTTTATACTCGTATGTTTAATGTGTGTGTTTTGCTGAAAACCAAGATACTTATAAGTTTCATTCTCGTCCATGGAATTTATTAAATTACCCTGTTCTAGCTCATAATCTATAAGTTCTCTTTTACCAGCTGTGATGTGTTGTGTTTTACATTTATCGATTCCAAAGTCCATTTGTATGTCACGTGAGAATGTTTCGGTAATGTGTAGAAGGTGATTAAGTTTTATGCTTGTGGAAGAGTATAATTTAAGATCGTCCATGTAAAACAGGTGTGTAATGTTGTGATGTATTTCGTGGTTGTGTTTAATATTGTACCCAAAGTTAGTAGTGTTTAACAAATATGAAAGTGGATTAAGAGCAAGACAAAACCAAAGCGGACTTAAAGAATCGCCTTGAAAAATTCCTCTTTTAATTTGTATTGGGTCGGTAATAAGTTTTGTGTCGTTTAGTGTAAGTGTTAACGTAGTGTTCCAACATGACATTATGTAATTGAGGAATCGTGTAATATTGTTGCTGACCTTGTATATTGAGAGTACTTGTTGTAACCAAGAGTGTGGTACTGAATCGAATGCTTTTTTGTAATCAATGTATGCAGTGTGTATGTTTCGTTTGTTATGTCTGGATTGTTCAAGTATAACAGAGTCTATAATGAGTTGCTCTTTACAGCCTCTGGAATACTTGGTACACCCTTTTTGTTCTTCGTATAAAATGTTGTTATCAGTACAGTGTTGGTATATTATTATTATTATTATTATTATTACAAACAATTAACAATAAATTTATAATAGTCTTAAAATAGATTAATTTATAACAGTAATTATTATTTATCATTTGCAATGTATAACATAACTCAAGCGCGTTGAAGTTGGAACTAAACTGAAGCGAAACTCGACCTGCTTATATAGCAATTAGCAAACGACAGTTATTCTTGTCTTTGGGATGTTCTACAATAAACACACGTCATTTTTCCCGGAAAGATTGCTTCACATTCGCGTTCGGTCTTTATCGCCGATGACTGTTCTTTCATGGGCCATGGCCTCGAAGTCTATCGAGATTTCTGGAATGTTCGCTACAATACAAAAAGTGATAAGAGGTATTATGGCGGATTTTTAAAAGATAACAAAAATTGTTGATGCTGCAGAAGTTGTTGGTGATAGGGGATTAGTAAGGGGTTGCGTTAACATATTTATTTTTGGAATTGGTGGCGCAAGAAGTAGGGAAAAATTGAACAGTAAAAGGCGAAAAAAGTTGTTTAAGGTGCAACGTTAAACATTGTGGAAAATAGTAGGGGGCTGCTGTAACATGCCTATTTTTGGCATCGGTGGTGCAAGAAGTAAAGAAAGAGGACGAATAACATTGTTTATTTTTATTTATTATTAGTATTTGTGGCGTTGGTGGCGCAAGAAGTAGTGAAAGGGTACTTCATAAGGTGAAAAAATGTTGAGGGCGCAGATGCGGTAATGAGGTTTGTTGTAGTATACGAGATTCTTGGCATTGATGGAGCAAGAAGCTACGTATCTACAAAGCGCGGATACGAATTTCTTTCTAAAAGTGTAAAGTTCTCCTTTCCTTCCGAAAGTTAAAAAATGTTTTATAAACTCCAAAAAAGATTTTTAGGGTAGAATTGAAATCCTGTTATGTGTTACATTTATTGGTAGCTGTGACATTTACCACACCCTCCTATAACAATCACATCCCCAAGTTCTAAACATCATATCTTACTTGAGTTACAAATCAAGCAAAACAATAATCTGAAAGGGTAGCGATGCATTTCGCCTTTCTTTTGAGTCTGTTTAGTGAACTGTCTTAGACGAGGGCATTCATAATTAAGAAGCTTAGAAATTCCCAATTCGTACTAGTCACAAATAATGTATATAACGGTGACTATTCGAAGAGTAAGATCTGAAAGCTCTAAAGTGCGCCGAAAGGGGCGAATAATTAGTATTGAATTCGTAGATTAGCGTAAAATCGATAAAAACTTTTGCTTAAATACATAATACTTGACAGGTAAGGAGCTTTCGTGGCCGAAATTCTGAAAGGCGACGCATAAATGATCGATGAGTTGTAACATTCTTGTTCGAAAGCAGAAATTTAATATTGTCAGGGCAGCCGAAAGAATCTAGGAGGAAGTTGCATGAAATTGTCGCCTCGCACAGAACTTAATTTTCCACTTTAAATTAAGGCGAGGAAAAGCCGTTCTCATTTGTAAAAGATGCAGGGAAAATACCTTTAAGTTGATTTGAATAGGTTCTCAGGCTCATTGTGGTAGAGGATTGATTACAGCAAATAATTTTCCGTGCGATATTTCAGACAGGCGACAAAATGCGCCATTGTACTTCCAACACTAGATTGACTTATTTGAGCCTGTCCTTAGAGAATAAAGTTGTTTGAAAATTATATAAACTATTGGAAATGTGAATTTTACAACAAAAAATAACAAACAGTAGCTAACTGTCTTTGAGTGTGGGTTTTTGCAATAATCAGTACTAAAGTTCTTTTATAAAAATGCCTAAAATAAGTTATTTTTGTTTCAGTTCCGTTGCAGAGGGAATACCAGCGGATAATCCACACTTAGTACTTTTGTTTTTCATGTCACAATTGTTTTTGCGTGAACTCACCAAGTGCCATCGTCTTGTTCAAATTATACCTATGGATATGTCCGGCTACTATGGTAGGTGCTTTGAACTATGCACGCTCAACGTTACCTTTCATACTTTCAGAAAATAGAGCCGGCCCATCAAATATTGGAAATGTAATAAGTCAGATATTGTTGTGTAAACAAATTACACCCGACTTTAACCAAGAGGAACTATGTAGTATTACAAAGGATTCCCAAGAAATATCTAAACTATTAAAAGAACTGCAAGAATATATGCCTAAACAGGAGAATAATTTGGGTAAATATAATAATAATGCCTTTATTGAGTTACACCTTATCCGAAAAAAATATATTATAGTTATTAATATACGATTTTGCCACCCTTCATTTTTTTTAGTTTATTTTGCCTTTATTTTTGAGTGGGCGGGGTTTCAGCCAAGGCTGCTCTACCAACCCAACATTTACAAATATCCATGCCCGAACCCGGATTCGAACCAGGGACCCTTGGCACCACAGTCCAGCTTTAACTGAACTGCTCCACACGAGCCGGCACTGCGTATTGAGTTGTTCCTTAATTGGGGCTCAAAACAACTCAAATTAATGTGTTTCGATACTTGTATTTGGGAGAACAGCTTAATGCAAGTACAAATCAGATTTTTGGTCGCGATCGGAAACCCTTCGTTGTCTCTGATATTGACGCAGAAAACGTGGGAGTTGGCACACAAGACGAACACAAATTAACATGTTAGGGGCTTTTCCGTTGTAGAACGAAAAGCGGTGGTTTCGCTATACATTGTCCAATATTTAATTGCTTTGGATTTTTCTTTTAGAGCGAAATATCGCGCTAACGGAAGACCTTAGCCAGTGGACCAATAAACGCCGAAGGAATTCTTTATATAAGAACATGAGGTTTTTGTGCTGTATTCGCCGACCAAACTACTTGTGACTGTACAGGAAAAAGAGAAGGTATTCTCTGCCATTGGAACTAACCTCGTGTTGAGGTTGAGCACCTCTCGTCTGAAAAAATACAGTGCTGCTGGTTTTTCACAATTTTTCACATGGCATCTCGTTTGGAACAATATCTTCGTAAATACAGGAGCGTACGACTAAAACCTAATCCTCGAAGTAGTCTAATTGTTTAGAATATTAATAGATGCTATTTTTACATTGCACGTATGTATCATAAGTTATCTCACGGGTAATAAATACCATAATGCCTATTATCTGACAGACATTTAGAACGCAAACATTTTTGTGGCAAATATCGATTTTTTGTTACAGCACCCCATATTTTCGACTGTTCTGTCAGATAAGAGTGCAAACCAATAACTGGCGCTAGATATTCATTGTATGGCTCTATAACATTGCATTAGTTGCTAATAAAGTACTACCTAGCTGTATTACCATCTAGTTTTAGAATTCGCTTACGTCGCGAATAGTTGTTAATGTCCATTTACACCAGTCTTATGGAAACTAATTATAAAAATAAATTGAAGAATAAGTGCGGAAATAAAATATTTTATGTTTGATTCAAATTTGTATTGTTGAGAATGTACACCTTTTACAATTGTTATATATAGGATTCGTCCGAAAAATTGTGGTTTATTAGAACGTTGCTACGTGTAAGTGGATTGCAAAGTGAATTTTATATGATAGGTAATCTAAACCATGATACATTTAGTACCAATTAGAAGAGTAGAGTTCGAAGAGGCTAAAATCAGACTGCTCATTATCGAAAAACGAACCTACTTTCTTCTTCTGCTCTTCCGACAAATTTAGCTTAGGGAAACACATTGTAGAGTGTTACAAGTGGTGACGATGGTATTTTCTTTTTATTCGCACGCAAATCCAACTGTTACGAGAGATATCACACTTGTCGTCACTACTTTAGCCAAATATGTGATTTGTTCTGACCAAAATGCCAGCTTGCTGGTGTTCAATAACATTTATCTTGTGATGTATTCGTAAATTTATTTAAAGGCTGGAATTGGTGGCCGAATATTATAAATCAAACTTAAATGTTGTTCAGTAATAAATACTCAAGTGAATTCACAATATACACCAATTTTAATAAAAATATTTTATCACTCAATATTATATAACTTTGTCAGGATTTACTGTTGTCTATGTGTCTTAGAAGTAGATAACTGAAAAACTATTTATATACATAAGCATTATTTCTAGAATCTGTGATATAGGTGGAAAACAGAGCTCCGTCAATTTCTATTTATTGTTGTACGGTTAGTTATTTTCAATAATTATAGAGTTGTGTAACCAGAGAACAAATAAAGCCTTTTCATGTCTGTGTTTTAATACCGCCCATTTCGTTTGAGATACCAATTCCTTTGTCCTTTATGCTGCACCGAATATTTTAATTATTTCCGTGAGTTCATTATTGGTTTCTCCGGTAATAAATCAAAATTTCGGAAAGTGGCCTCACAAACGACCCAGATAGTTTGTGTGTAAGGTATATGAAATGGGCGCAGAATTGTAGGTGTGCGGTGCAAATATTTGGGTGTAACACATGGAAGTTGACGTAACTCTTATGTGCTCGATTTTCCGTCGTCTGTCCGTCTCTCTGTTCCATCGAGATCTCGGCCCCTGGACCACCTAAAGACTTCGAGTTTTCGCTAATTGATAACTGCTATCTTATATTTATTTACAGCTAATATGTTAGGCGGTAACACCAACGAGTGGGTTTTGAAACTTTTTTTTATCTGGCGTACATACATTTCTATAATCCTTTGCATCTTGGGAGACGAAACCTTTCACGGACTTTCATTCGTTTTACCAAATGAGAAGTGCCCAATGTCATCATGGTTGAACCTGAAGACCAGAGCGATCTCCAAGCTTTCGACAGTAAGATCCATCATTAAAAATCTATTTATATTCGCTGCGGTTATTTACAAGAAGGATTGATTTTATATTTTTTATGCGACCATCGGCTGTTTGAGTTGCTAACTCTGTAATTAACTTGTCTCTTCATAGTTCAACAGTTCTTATCCAACTCAATAGTTCGTTTCTGGCCTTGATTTATGTGCAAATTCAAAATGTGCACGTCCTTTGGGGCTGGGAAACTTTCAATTGCAGGAAGTTAGTATCCAATTCCGAATCGAACAGCCCAGATAATGAAGTTTACTTGTTAGGAACACACACAAGGACGCGGAAATTAGGACGAGCGACAAAAAGACGCATGCGACAAAAGGACGCGTGCGACAAAAGGACGCGTGCGACAAAAGGACGCGTGCGACTAAAGGACGCGCACGACTAAAGGACGCGCCTGATCATTTTGTTTTGAATTTAAAGTTTTTAAAAACAAATTACTATACTGCGGAAAATAACTGTAACTATTTTCGAAACATTTAGAATCTGTATGTACAGTAGTACTACAGATAAATATTTTTAACTAGTTAATACCTTGTTAAAGATAATGTTGAACATCACATTGTCATTACCTAAATGATACATAATTTTAAAACTGCAATAGTCTATTTAACTAACTTGATGTTAACCAATTACATTTAATGGCTTTGGAGCAGATATTTAATATGGATGTTCACTTCTATACCCAGTCATTTGACAGTTTTTTCTATTCATGTAAAGATGGTTTTATCATTTGTCCAAAAGTCAAAAGGGTCACAAGATGTTGATGCTGAACGTTTTATTCACAAAAAGTAACGAATTATAAAAAGGAAGACTATTGGCAGTGCGCCGGTTACAACAAGTGTAAATGTCCTGGAAGACTGCATACTGCATACGTTTGAAGGGGAAATTGTGAAGAGCACATCCCATAACTACCTTGCCGATGCTGGAAAGTTGGAAGCAAGGTCAGTTTGATATTAAGCGATTGGCTCAACATGTTGAAGCAACTACTCAAGCGATAGTGCACTGAGAAAAATGTATGTTAAAGGTAATTAAAAATATAATAATAGCTATCAAAATATATATATATATATATATATATATATATATAAAATGGCATGGAAGGTTATCCATTTGCCACAAAATTATATGAGTTTATATAATTATTATTATATAATTATATAGATATTACTTAAGCTGGTCAACTTTGTACAAGAAGTTGCATAGTACCTAACTCAAATATTATTTTTTGGTTAAGAGAAAGTAAGTGAGCAACATTAACCGGTAATTGAACGTTATTAAGTAATAATCCATTGTAAAGTAGTTCAATTTCATCATTATTTTTTGAGCACTTAAAGAAGATATGGTTCATGTCGCATGTAGAAGCATAATCGCATGAACACACACAGCAGATGGAATAACGTGAAGCTTCGCGAGGTGAGCTGGGAATCTTACAAGTTGAAGGTGAATATATGTGGGTTATAAGAACTATGGGAATTTTCCACCCATTTCTGTTGCCACTTTTCCCGAATGCTTGCCTGATGCCACCTAATTAAATCAGATGCTGTTGAAATGTTTTCAGTTTTTCCAGTTCTAATGGAATCTTTTGCAAGATGGTCGACCATCTCATTGCTTCGTATACCTGTTTTTTATATCACATAATATACATCTTTTTGGATTTTCCGTAATATTTTTTAAACCATCTAAAACTGATTTTGAGTCTGATACAATCACTGCTTCTTGTATATTATTATCCTCCAACCAATGTAGCGCTCTATCAATTGTCACAGCTTCTGCAGTAAATATAGAACAGACTGAAGGAAGTTTAATTTTCAAGGACTGATTAGTGCGAAGCATATATACTGCACATCCTGTGCTGCCATCTTCCTGTTTTGACCCATCCGTATATAATATTGTTTTCTCCAAGTGGTCACTCAATATGGATTTTAATATAATGTTGTTTAGTATAGAGCAATCCGAGTATTGGGGAGTAATGATTTTGGTAATTGATATCAAGGATCTATAATCCATGTTTTAAGCAGGTATTTTTTTGCTACTTAGGTAGATATTGGGAATACTGTTGGTTGCCAGGAAAGCATCTACTAGTGGGGGGAGGTTTTTATTCTCCAATACTTGTTTGTTAAAGTTTCGATTAATAACCCATATAGTTGCTGGATTAATTTAGATTCGTAAGACCTTAACTTAATTACAAATTTGGCCGATAACGATTCTCTTCGACGTTGCAAAGGAATTTCCTTACTTTCAGCAAGCAAAACAGGTGTTGGGGTGGATTTCATAGATCCAAGGCAAATTCTTAGGCATTTGTACTGTATGCGATCGACACCTAGTAAAAGACATTTGCTGGCAGCTCCCTAAAGGACGCGACCGTAATCCAATATAGATCGTACGTAGCTCCTGTAAAACATCAAGGCAACTTTGGGGTCTGCACCCCATCTTCTATTTGTAATACATTTGAGAAGATTGATACCTCTTTCACATTTGCTTTTTACATACCTACTAGACATGTTTTGACCACAGAAGTTTGCTGTCGAGGATAATGCCAAGATATTTATAATCTTTGACTACAGGAATTACATATCCTGATAGAATTATATTATTAGGCGTACCTACGCAATTTGTGCCTAGTAAATATCATAATGGCCGATTTTTCAGGGGAGATGGTCAGTCCATGATTTATAGTCCATGTATCGACAAGTCGCATGATGTGCTGCAGGGCCTCCACACAATCCTCATATTGTATTTTTTTGTATGTGTATACAAATGTCGTCCGCATACTGCACACATTTTATAGAGTCGCTGAACAGATAATGTAAGTTTGCTGAAAATAGGTTGAATAGAATGGGGCTTAGAGCCGATCCTTGTGGTAGGCCTATATGGGATATTCTTGGTCCGTGTATTTGGTTTAAGTGATCTCTAATATAAATAGTTCGATTAGAGAAAATGTTAGTAATGCTAGAAGATACTTTTCTTGAATTACCAATTTCACATATAAGGATAGCTATGAAGAATTATAAAATTTATCATATACATATTGTTGCAAGTGTATAGCTAGTTTTACTATATATTGTTTTAACTCATACAAAAAAACTGTATGTAACGGCAACCATGTCATATGCATGCTTTTGTAATACGGGAGTAGTTGAATTAACATCTCCGCAAGTAACTTAGATTATTGCAACTAATACACACACCCTGCCAAAAATTTTACAGGGGTCGATCTGAGAAAATTTTTCTGAGGGCCTCAAAAAAAGGCAGTGTATAACCTTCCTTTTTTACCAAAAATCGACTGCACCAAAATTTCTCGGGAAAACACGTTTTCTTATTAATTTTGGTGCGTAGAATCCAAAACAATTCGTACTTTTTCGATCAGACTTCTCAATCAAAAGTTATAGACTAGAAACCAATTTCGAAGAAAAATTCAAAGGGCTGTAACTTTTGAACTAGTAGCCCAATCTTGGAACTGTTTGAAATTATGGATTCTACAGGCCACATTCTATAAAAAAAATTTTTCCGGGTAGATCTGAGACAATTTTCTATTCGGGGCTCAAAAAAAAGGCAGTGTATAACCTTCCTTTTTTACCAAAAATCGACTGCACCAAAATTTTTCGGGAAAACACTTTTTCTTATTAATTTTGGTGCGTAGAATCCAAAACAATTCGTACTTTTTCGATCAGACTTCTCAATCAAAAGTTATAGACTAAAACCAATTTCGAAAGAAAATTCAAAGGGCTGTAACTTTTGAACTAGTAGCCCAATCTTGGAACTGTTTGAAATTATGGATTCTTCTGGTACTGCGCCATAGGATCGCACGAATTTCCAACCCCCACTTCCTAATCGCAGATCACTGCTCTCCTGTTTTCGGTCAGGGTTGTTTCTCTGCAAATAGCCTGATCTGAGAGGATATAGGTAACGAAGGATACAGTATCGGAACTGCAAAAATTAAAACGAAAGGATCGATTAATAAATTTATTTATAAACATTATCTAAGAACCTAACGCAATTGAAAATGTTTAAACTACAATAAAGGTGTCAATTTAGACATCTACGCCCCCTTCAAAATTTAACAAAAATTGAATGCCAAATTGCAAATAGTAATTGTAAATACCTATAATTGTGTTATACAACGCATAACATTCATAAAATGATACATTTAGAAACAAAGGTACGAGTGCGTTTGGATCAGGAAGTATGTCTGCGTTCAGGTTGTCGAGTGTTTTGTGCTTGGGGAACAACAATAGCATTGTAGATTGGCAATGGGAATACACCTAAACATTTTATGTAAATTTGGTCCAAATACTATACAAAGATCAGTGTAAGATATTTCTTATGTCTGAACGCAGGTCTCTTACTAATTTTGCAATAGGATAAATTTGTTCAATTTTCAACTTCCGTTTGACTACTTACTTATCAGCAATTCGCTAACCAATTTAAATTAGTTTACCTTACTGTTATCACAGATAATTACATAGGTAAGCTGCTAAATGATTACAATAGAGTAACGTAACGATCAGCATTTGGAACAAAACATTTTTTTATTGCTTAATGAGCAATGTAACAACAGCGTGTCAAAAGACTTTCTAACAAAAATGCAAGCTATCTAATTGTTATCTACGTAAACTGAGGTATCAAAGTAACAATCGACAATTTCTACAGACTTTTAGGTTTGAGTGCAATTCACTGCAACTATTTGAAGGCCTAAGGTTTCTACCCATCAAAATTTTTCATAATAGTCCATATGAAAAATTTTGTACTCGAGAATTGTTCAATTGAGCAGATGTTCATAAAAATATAGTAGGTATATCAATCGTTATTCTAAATAATTCTTTTGACGAGACCAGACAATTCATTCGTCGTGGATGTGCATGAACAGTGTTGCATTTGTCGTTGCAGTTCACGAAGGAGGCATTGAGTTCATGGAGCACAACCCAAGAACAGTGACAAGAAGAGCAATACTGTTTGCAGTTGCGCAGCTCATCGATGATACCGCGTTTGGGGATGCAGTAGGTGTGCCAAATCTTGTATTTGGTCGAATCACTTGCGATTTCCATTTGATCCTAAATTGGGGAAGTGTTCTGCTCAAGGTTCGTAACCTGAAATTACCGCGGTGAGAAGTCGAGGTGGTCTTGCAAACGACTTACCTGATAATAATTGTGTTTAGCTTCCATGGTAATAAATACTGTTTGTGAGTATCTCTAGAGCAGAACGTGTGCAAAAGCTCTCCTAAATGACGATCTTTGGCGCTTGCCGCGTATTCGTGGATACTAATATTCCAGGCAGTACAAGGACCTATTTATTGAATTAGTTAAACCAGTACACGCAAGCACAGTACTTACGGTTTTGCTTAGAAGAAATATCCAACTCTAGTTGCCTTTCAACATTGGAATGTAGAGTCCACGTGCACGTTTGGTAGTAGAAATGGTTTAAGTTGTCGGGAGAAGTTAGATTCTTTAAAGCAATTTCGCCTACAATTTAATGTTTAGTTGATTAATGGAAGACGTTTTTTTAAATACCTGAATGCAGAGTGTATATTTGATCGCTGCAAATCGTGTCGGTATTGAATGAGTATGAAGCTGAAAATTCAAATCCTTTGTTGCTCCATACGTAATGCGCAACTGAATAAACAACTGTGAGAAGATTCCACGAACGCACACTAACAGGGAACCATTCCTGCTGAAATGCTCCACATAAACAGGCGACCGTCCAGCCCTCTTCGTTAACAATCATAAAATGATCAATATTTTGCAGAGCAGCCTTGGAAACACATCTACAACCATTATCGCCACATTGCGTTACACACGTAGGATTTTGTGCCATGTGTTCTAAACCCAAAATTTTTAGAACGATACTTTGGTTATCGGCTGGCAGAAATTGCTGGGTACATTTCAAAGGACCGTCAATGTTCCAGTACAATTGCTGCAAACCAGGATTATCTAATAAACCAGCGAGTGGGCTATACATTCCGTTGTATTTCACATCACATAAACCAGTCGGTTGCATAGTACCGCTAATTTGTTCTGAAAAGTAACAGTTAGTGCATCGTTTCACAAGCGGGCTCACACCATCGTGAAAGAAAAACGAGCCGGAAATGAATTCGGCATCATTCGTTGATAAGGGCGCGGTTGGTCTTCGAAGTAAGATCACCATAACGTTTTTCGTTGATAAGTATTTTTTTACATGGAGACTGCTACCGTCAGAGTCATGTACTTGCCTAAGTAATGGACTGCAAAGTTTATCAATGGGGCCTTTGGTGTCTTCCATGAAACCGTCAAATATTTCAATAACAGAACGGCATAACGGTGATCTACGATAGCGATTGTTAATTCTTTCATCATTATAGTCCGGGAGAAAAAGCTGGTTTCGTGTTAGGCTATCAATCGTTAGTTTACGGGAATGCATTAAGGGGGGTAAGGAAGGGTGCAGGTTATGACCGGAAGATATAGCTTACTGCCACTTTTGTCCTCATGAATCAAAGGATAAGTTTCAGTCTATTAGGTCTAATAAAGTAGATCCTTAAAAAACGCTAACAAAACATCTATCATTTAAAATACAAAAAAATCAAAAATCTCATCCCCTAACTTAGGTATTCCTTCCCCTTTCTACTTTTACAATATTCCCCTTCTAAATCTCTACGTCTTCTTTTTTTAATTCTGATTTTTTGCGTCCGGTTTTCTCCCTTTTCCTGATTCACTTTACATTCTCCTATCAGATGCCTAATATTTTGCTCTTCTCGCCACTTAATCGGTATTTTCTTTCTTCTTCCCTCCGTCCCTCATTTACACATCTGAGCCTCGCTATAATTTTAAACTTTGTACAGTAGGTAAATCCCTTCGTTAAATATTACAGCACCTGTTGCATAATTTATCCCTTTTCCACATATTTTTTTCCTTTGTTGTTGCAATTGTATACCTTTCTCTTATTTCATATATTAGTCTTAGCGCTACCTCCTTGGATTCCGTAATTCCCTTACTTGTACATTTTGTATGTGTTTGGCATCACAAATAGTTAATTATTTCCACCCTCCACTTCTAATTCTACTTCTACTGTTTCCCCACCTCCCTTAGCAAATCTCATCTTCGATTTAGGTCTATTTCCTTTCTCCCAGTATCTCTCCATCCTTCTTATCTTTTCTTCCGTCGCAAAATTACATACTTGTCGGCGTATACCAGGAACCATCCCCTACTACAATTCCTTTATTTTGACCTACCATTTGCTTCAAGTATGTATGTTAAATAGTTCTGGGCTGAGCCCCAAGATATCTCTGATCCCTTACCTCCTACTCTGACCGTACATTTTAACTCATTTTATTCTGCTCCCTATAATGTTCTATTTTTCCTTCCGCCAACAATTTTCATACTTTTTTCCTCGACATCTATAAAATGCGTTCTTTAAGGTCTTGAAGCAAGAACTTTTCCTCCCTTTTTTGTATTTGTTTCCATTGTCCTATGATTGTACTACATAATTATATACAATAGTCTATCGTTTCCTTTCCTTTGTTTCCTCCAGTCGTCCTTTCCATTCTTTTCACTTGTCTTCATAGTCGTAATTCGCCTAATTACATCTAATCTTTGTAATCTCTTCTGTGAACCAGTACTTTGCCCTTTTCTTCCAATTTCGTTATTGTTCCTCTCATGAACCCTTTTATTTTTCCTTTATGATGTAATCTATCTCGCTCTTTCCCCACTTATGCTAATTATTCCCCTCTGCACCTTTTATATTTCAGTTTATTATTGTTGGTGCACTTTTTTATCAGTTATCGTAACAGCTCTGACTCTCTGTTATCTAATTGGTACCCATTTCGCTGTATTCGCCCCTTGGCAACAGAATCCCCTCCACCTCTCCGTTTTCCATCACGCATTTTATTTACTTTCTTAGGTCTTTTGTGCCTTTTTCCCTTTTCTCCTCGTATTTTTGTTCCTCTCAGTCCATTTGATCTCTCTATACCTGATATCATACCATCATTCGCTCCTCCCTCTTTTTTATTTTATTTAACGGTTTGGGCATTTCACGTAAACTTTTCGGCATCTTACTCTCCCAATTTTTCTAAAAATGTTCATCCTTGTTTACTACCCCCTTCACGTGCTCCACGTGCCAGAACAAACTCTTTGTGAATTATTTCTTTTCTTTCCGTTCCCTTCTCCCCTCTTGTTTCTTCTGCTATTACGTCTTCCTGACAAATCCGTTCTTTCATTTTCATAAACCCTTAGCCGTCACTCAAAATAACTTTTTATTTTTGCTCTCTCTCTGTACTGTACTCCTTGACCCCCTACTATAATTTACCTCTTCTTTTCCTACCGTCATTGTTGCATTATTCCTCCCTGATTTAACTGTTTTGGCTTCTTTCACAGTCGTTCCTACTTAATCCTTTTTGCTTTTTACATCTCCCTTCTCCCTTTGTCGTGATGAAATTCCTTGCTTTCTCCTTCTCCCTGATTTCGGATGCTACTGCGAGTATTATGACCTTTTCACCGGTTCATTTCTTCGATTATCTTTTCTCACATATTTTCGACGTCTCTTTTTATCCCTTCTGTCGCCTCTTCTATCAGTTTTCCATTATTTGTTGCATTTTTGCCTTCCGTTCTTATTCCTCTTTCTGCATCAGTTCTATTTCGATGGATAACAATTTTTTCTTCTCCTAAGGGCTTCAAACGGTTGCTCTGTTATTTCTTTCCTTTTCCTATCTTTGTTCACCACGGACTGCGAAAGGAACTTTTAACAGTTTTAACAGCTCGAAGATATTCCCCTATTTGTCGCTTATAATATCCTGAGTATTTAACAGATTTTAGTAACATTCGAAAAGGCTACCCAGAAACCTAGTTAAAGCGGTAACTTCTACACTTTTATCTGTAGCTGTCCCGAAGACTTTTGGGGCAATAGCTCTCATGCAATACATTTTGGAAAAAATAATTAACAATAAATTTAGAACAGCTGTCTTGAAATTATTTGATTTATGACAGTAAAATATTATTTATTACTCAGGAATAAAAAATTTATTACAGTGCTAACTATTTATTACTTCGATCGTAATTGGGACGGCACCGAATCGCAATTCGTTTGCTATAAGCAAATGCCCCCTCCTTCCCGAAAGTTCTCGAGCGCTTCCGAATTCGGACTATTCTTCTTGAAAAGATTACGTCACATCCGCCTTCGTTCTTTATCACCGATGAGTAATCTTTTGTGACGCCTCGATGTCTATGGAAATTTCTGAAATGTTCGCTTAATTGCTCTTGAAATTTATGAAAGAATGTCTCTAATTAAAAAACCCTTTGGTTTAGAGGATAAAACCAGTAGTAGGTTTTCCGGCTTTTCTAAGATGGCGGTGCTCAGCAATAACTTCCAGTTTGAAAGCGTTGTGATTTTTTTACGCAACTATGAATATTACTTTTTTCATTAATAGCCAATGAAATACCTTTTGCTCCCGGACTATTAATCTTTAGTTACCTCAAACGGTAGTTAAAAAGTGAGATATGTATTACATCCGTTGAACGCCCTTTGAATATCAAGCGACAAGTTGGTAGCCATTCGTATTCGCGTGTATCGAAGTGACCAGATCTGGTATTGTTTCCGGAAATCACAATTTCGCATTTGAATTGGTGCGAAGAGGGCGCTAAAGAAAATGAGTGTAGTTAAGGTACTTTTTTCTCTGTGAACTATTACTTGAATTGAATACGTAGTTGGTGATTTGCTCCATGGTGTGCGAAAACTGTGGCAAAGACGCCTCTGTGGTAGAAACTTTTTCGTAAAATTCTAGACTGGCAACGAACCCGTTGTGATTGTAGGGCGGAACCTGGGGACCAGAACTGAAACACCAATAACTCAGTGTTGCGTTTTTTTGGGGAACGAGAGGCACCTGAATTCGAGAAGTAACTTTGGTCCTGGATAATCTACGCTTTTTCTTTGGTTGGCACATAAGGTCAATAGGTGCGGGCTACTTCTGGTTGAGCCGTGATATACGGCTACAAAATCAGTGCTACAATGACTAAAACAAAGTTGTTTTAAAATGTTGCAGTTAGCACCTGTAACGTACTTTGGAGGAAGGAGAAGAGCATTGAACGTAATTCTAACTCTCATTCTATCACTACTTGTCGTAATATGGTATTTACACTGGCGATTGGGAGGGTACAACCCGGGATAATTGGGGCTCGCTATGACGCAACTCCCCAACTTCGCGCAGGAGAAATCTTGATACAGCCAATCGCAGTCTAGAAAATACCGTAAATCTAAACGCCGTGTTCAAATCATCTACCTGTATTCTGAAGTTTCATGCCGCCCTTGGGCTGATAGCCCACACCTTCAGTGTTATTGATGGACGTAAAGCTGAAATACGCTAAAAATTGAGATCGACGGGTTTTTTCGGTGACTCTAAAATCGAACACAATTAAAAACAAACACTTCCGTAGAAAAACTAACTGAAATAAAAGTGAGGCTACTCCATCATCGGAAAAGAGCACAACAGGTGGCGAAAACCTTTCATTCACTCCACATACGATATTATCAGTGGAACTATACAGTGGGTCAACCCCATTCATCAGTTGCAGATATCCACCTACGCAACTGAGATGTACGTCAGACATGTGTTGAGGGTTTACCTTCAATCTTACCTACTCCCATTAAATCTTCCAACATCTACAAGTCTGTAAATTTGAATTTCTACCCTTTCGCTTGACGTTGGAACTAAGGTGTACCAACAATGGTTTGGACCTTCTAACGATGGTGATTTAATTTGACCAAATGACTTTCCCGAATGTTTATAGAGGTCCGTGGAGGAAATTGATATATTGCACACTGCAGATATTTGATGATGCTTTAGTTTGTTAAGCGTATATACTCACTGAAACTGCAGTGTTTCTCAAGTCCACACTGCGTACATCGATTAGGTGATTCCTTTCCACAGTGACAACCACCGTCTTGAACACAACAAGCGCATTGATTACTATTCACGTTCCATGGACAAGGACAACCCTTTGACTCTTGCGTCCATAGATCAATCTGACCTGAAATTACAATATTGGGAAATTAGTAGGGAAATTCTCATTTTATTTAGCTAAATTGACTTCTTCGTATTATTAAGCGAAATAGCGTTTCAATCAATATTAAAATGTACAAGAGAGTCGTTCATCAATCTACGAAAAAGAAATTTGACAGCTAACCTTTCGAATATAACAAGGAAATGTTCTACAATAAATTGCTTTGGAAAATATACGTTACAGGTAGCGAAAGACGATAAACCAACGTTGGTCGTTCCATTATATTTTTACGTTTATGTAAAATGAAATGAATTCATTCGCTTAGTGCTTTTCAGGGTAAAAGAGGATCCCTTACGAATTTTTAATGTCCATTAAAATAACTGCAACGATTTGCAATCAGGTCACATTAGTTATTAATGGGGGCATCAAATTGTTTACTGTACCTAACGCATCCGTGTGTATAGCTGACAGTATGTTCTAATATGTGCCACATAATTAACGGATGTAAATGATGTGGATTGGGTAATATAAAACAGTTTATGTAGAAAATGTGCTTAGTTTCCCGTAAAATTTATGGCACTAAGGTAATACGTTTAATCCATTTCGAATTGCTTTATTGCAATCAACTTGCTGTATAAATAAGACGGAGATTGTAATTTAAAACAATTCAAAAGCAGGGAGCGGCCATTTCAAATGCCGTAGATGTTTTAGGTGCACTTCGGAAAATGTTAGCAAAGTTTCCTCGCTGAACATTACTGCAAATGAATCCAAAGGATTTCGACGATGGGCCCGCTGCTTGCGAGTATTATCCAACATTCTGACATTGCTATTTCTTACGGGAATACGTAAATGTAATATTTATACAAAACCGCAAACTAAAGTGGTGGATAAGGCGAACGAGGGGAACTCGAGGACGAATAATTACTGACCTCAACGTGTGACTACAGAAATGTTGAAGAGTGTTTTCCTTAACCTACTTTGAGCGCAAATGACAACATTTTGAGCGCCTTTAACTCCCTTTTCTGTTGTTTGCTTTAATATTAATTCCAATTAGGTCCTTGCTATTGCAATGTTCTGCGTTAGAGTTTCATATTTGCTCAATTCAATTTGGAGGTAAAAGTGTGTGCTCAAACGGTACGTTGGATTTTTCTATGGCGCAGTTGTACCTTTAAATTAATGCGAATTACCAGCAATGTTACTAAACTCTGTAGAGTTCAGAGTCACAGAACTTACCCGCGGTTTGAAATACGTATCTTATTTCTGGCGAATACACTTTTTTTAGCTTCCTAGCGCGAGTAGGTAGCTATTGCGATAGCCGTTTTTTGGACATGTCAAAATTTCATCAAATGTCGACGTTTTAGATCATTTTAAGCAACTTTTAAAGAACAACATTTTTTTCCGTCCGTCAATTTTCACAGAAAACGGCTCGACGGATTTTGTTCAAATTTTGGATATGTATATTAGGCATACGGAACAGAAAAATAACGGGCCGGATTTTTGAAAAAAAAATTTGGAGCGCCGCAACGGCATCGAATTTTTTTTTCAAATAGCAACCTAACATTTGTAATTACATTATTCGAAAGACCTTATTTTTCTGTGTACAACCTACAAAAATTGTGCCAGGTTTTATTACAAAAAACAGAAAAACAAAGTGAAGTCAAGTGGTACTGCGGCTGCAATGGATCCTATGTCGGGCAGAGTACTGTTGATTCGTACAGAGAATGTATCCACAGCAAATAGGCGGGCATAATCATTTGCATCAACTTGTACAATAGTCCTTGAGTCCATACTACGTTGAAAACACGAGCAATATCAAAAAAGATATCGAATGCAGTCTCTATGAGTTCGGAGACACGTCAACAGTTGGTGTGCGGTCGGAATTATCGATTTATACCAGAATGAACAATTTTTTCGAATAGGTTGGATAGTGTAGGGCGGAGGCTAATGGGACGATAGCTATCAAGAAGTTTGTGTTTTTTCCGGGTTTAGTTAACTGTTCCATTAATTACCCTACCATGGGGTGCACCTTGTCGTGGTGGTAGGGCTTAGTACTCACAACTTCGTGGCGAAAATAAGCCCTCCAGGCGGGTGATTGTTAGACTCCATGACTTTAATCCATAAAGTCTGATTCGTGCTACATGATTCCAGTAAATCTGGCTCAAAGCATGCAGTGTCATTCAAATGCCCTCATGGAGTAGAGATATTCGAAAGAATTCTCGACGGTGATTCATCAAACGTGATAAAAGGAATTTTATCGATATGAGAAAGAAGAACTCCCGTACGCTCCACTCCTAAGGCGTGCGAGGTAGGCACTTCTACAGGCCACATTCTATAAGAAAATTTTTTTTCCGGGTCGATCTGAGACTATTTTTTTTCGGGCCTCAAAAAAGGCAGTGTATAACCTTCCTTTTTTTCCAAAAATCTACTGCACCAAAATTTCTCGGGAAAACACTTTTTTAAATTAATTTTGGAGATTAGAATCCAAAACAATTCGTACTTTTTCGATCAGACTTCTCAATCAAAAGTTCTAGACTAGAAAAGAACCCAATTTCGAAAGAAAATTCAAAGGGCTGTAACTTTTGAACTAGTAGCCCAATCTTGGAACTGTTTGAAATTATGGGTTCTACAGGCCACATTCTATAAGAAAATTGTTTTTCCGGGTCGATTTGAGACAATTTTTTTTGAGGGGCTCAAAAAAAGGCAGTGTACAACCTTCCTTTTTTACCAAAAATCGACTGCACCAAAATTTCTCGGGAAAACACTTTTTCTTATTAATTTTGGTGCGTAGAATCCAAAACAATTCGTACTTTTTCGATCAGACTTCTCAATCAAAAGTTATAGACTAGAAACCAATTTCGAAAAAAAATTCAAAGGGCTGTAACTTTTGAACTAGTAGCCCAATCTTGGAACTGTTTGAAATTATGGATTCTGCAGGCCACATTCTATAAGAGAATTGTTTTTCCAGGTCGATCTGAGAATTTTTTTCAAGGGGCTCAATAAAAGGCAGTGTTTTACCTTCCTTTTTAACCAAAAATAGACTGCACCAAAATTTCTGGGGACTTTTTCTTATTAATTTTGGAGCGTAGAATCCAAAACAATTCGTACTTTTTCGATCAGATCTCTCAATCAAAAGTTATAGACTAGAAAAGAACCCAATTTCGAAAGACAATTCAAAGGGCTGTAATTTTTGAACTAGTAGCCCAATCTTGGAACTGTTTGCAATTATGGATTCTACAGGTCACATTCTATAAGAAAATTGTTTTTCCGGGTCGATTTGAGACAATTTTTTTTGAGGGCCTCAAAAAGAGGCAGTGTTTACCTTCCTTTTTAACCAAAAATAGACTGCACCAAAATTTCTCGAGAAAACACTGTTTCTTATTAATTTTGGAGCGTAGAATCCAAAACAATTCGTACTTTTTCGATCAGACTTCTCAATCAAAAGTTATAGACTAGAAAAGAAACCAATTTCGAAAGAAAATTGAAAGGGCTGTAACTTTTGAACTAGTAGCCCAATCTTGGAACTGTTTCAAATTATGGATTCTACAGGCCACAATCTATAAGAAAATTGTTTTTCCGGGTCGATCTGAGACAATTTTTTTCGAGGGGCTCAAAAAAAGGCAGTGTTTTACCCAGGGCTACAAAACATAATAATAATAATAAGGCAAAACTTAATTTCTATTACTGCGCGATTTTCGACACGGTACCCATAATCAAGTCGATTTTTATTGCTGACTGAAACTCGCATGATGCGTTTATGAAAAAAATTACAAAAAACTATCGGGATTATTTTTTCAACTGGAGCAAGATTGAATTATTGTAATGAAATAGCTGCGGTGATAGTGAGACTACATTTTCATATTTTGTTTAGCTCGGAACAAAATATTTGAAGGGACAAGTTTGTGGAAAACATTTTCAATATTGATTTCGAAATACACGTTATAATTCAAAAGCAAAACAAAAAGGGGATGTTTGGCTACCCGACACCGACTAATAAATACCTATTATTATGGAATTTAATGTAGGGTTACTGGGATTGTTTAATCAACGGGTATATTAATTTTACTGGTTGCTATATAAAACCCGATCAAATAGCAGTCCTTCATTTAGAAATTGCGCACTTATTATCTTACTAAATTACTTTTCTACGAGACTATTGTTTAACTTTTAATTGGCGTAATGTTCTAGGGTGAAGTTTTTATTTGTTTGAATACGATTAAGTCCTCTGAGTATCTGGATTTTATTTGCAGTTAAATAATTGCTTTTACTACTCCCACTACTAGTTTATGTCAGAAATAAATTAACGGGAATGGATTGACGTAGGCAATTTTATTGCGTCCGAAATTAATGATAGGAATCGGTTGTGAATATGTTACAGCGATCATGAATGATGTCACAGTTTGTTTGACAGCTAATAATTTTATTAGCTTACGTGATTCTATAAAAAAAAGATGACCGCGGTTTATTAGATACTTTACGATTTCTAAGTAGGCATGAATGATCTTGTATGACGTCTTACGAGTGGAAATTAGGTTAAATTAACACCTGAGCCCTCTGTCTAGCAAAGTGAATACTTGGTAATAGAGTATTTGTCTTTTTATTGCCTAATAATTGTGAACATGATTTGGGATAATAACGTCGTCGCGAATCAACCTCGAATTTACTTTAATGTTTTGTTACCAGTTGGTGGTCGTTAGTCCCACCGCCTTCTCTGACACTTTATCAACTATTTCTCTAAAATTCATTCTTTTGGTCCAACTTGCGTGTTAAAACTAGAAAACATCTCTTTACGTGTACTTTAACGTGAGACGGGCGGACGGATTTGGGAAAAATTACACTTTGAATAGAAAATCGTCAAGACCGAAATCACTACTTATTTTTGGCCTAAGAATTTTTAATTTAAAAAATGAGCGTGTGCAAGGTAGTTGGAGTTTGGGTTTTTATTATTTCTGTCCACTAATACCCATAACTTGAGTTATATCCTTCGAGAACTTTTTTAATGCGGTCATGGCAAATACAAGCATCATTAT